GACCGGAAATGAGGCTCGCCTTAGCAAGGTGTATAATTAGAAACGCTGTTCCTCAGATAGTACGGTAAGGATTAGCAATCGACTATCAAGAGACAAAAGTGTCCTCCCCGACCGGGAATTGAACCCGGGTCTCTCATGTGACAGACGCGGATACTAACCACTATACTACCGAGGACCTGAAGATAAGGCACGCCTTAGGAAACGTGTATAAATAGAAACGCCGTTCCTCAGATAGAACGATAAGGATTAGCAATCGACTATCAAAAACCAAAATTGTTCTCCCCGGCCGGGAATTGAACCCGGGTCTCGCATGTGACAGACGTGGATACTAACCACTATACTACCGAGGACCTGAAGATAAGGCACGCCTTAGCAAACGTGTATTATTAGTAGCGCCGTCCCTCAGAGAGAACGGTAAGGATTAGCAATCGACTATCAAGAAACAAAAGTGTCCTCCCCGGCCGGAAATTGAACCCGGGTCTCGCATGTGACAGACGCGGATACTAACCACTATACTACCGAGGACCGGAAAATGAGGCTCGCCTTAGCAAACGTGTATAATTAGAAACGCCGTTCCTCAGATAGTACGGTAAGGATTAGCAATCGACTATCAAGAGACAAAAGTGTCCTCCCCGACCGGGAATTGAACCCGGGTCTCTCATGTGACAGACGCGGATACTAACCACTATACTACCGAGGACCTGAAGATAAGGCACGCCTTAGCAAACGTGTATAAATAGAAACGCCGTTCCTCAGATAGAACGATAAGGATTAGCAATCGACTATCAAAAACCAAAATTGTTCTCCCCGGCCGGGAATTGAACCCGGGTCTCGCATGTGACAGACGTGGATACTAACCACTATACTACCGAGGACCTGAAGATAAGGCACGCCTTAGCAAACGTGTATTATTAGTAGCGCCGTCCCTCAGAGAGAACGGTAAGGATTAGCAATCGACTATCAAGAAACAAAAGTGTCCTCCCCGGCCGGAAATTGAACCCGGGTCTCGCATGTGACAGACGCGGATACTAACCACTATACTACCGAGGACCGGAAAATGAGGCTCGCCTTAGCAAACGTGTATAATTAGAAACGCGCGTCCTCACCTAGAACGATAAGGATTAGCAATCGACTATCAAGAACCAAAAGTGTTCTCCCCGGCCGTGAATTAAACCCGGGTCTCACATATGACAGACGCGGATACTAACCACTATACTACCAAAGACCTGAAGATAAGGGACGCCTTAGCAAACGTGTATAATTAGAAACGCCGCTCCTCAGATAGAACGGTAAGGATTAGCAATCGACTATCAAGAAACAAAAGTGTCCTCCCTGGCCGGGAATTGAACCCGGGTCTCGCATGTGACAGACGCGGATACTAACCACTATACTACCGAGGACCGGAAAATGAGGCTCGCCTTAGCAAGGTGTATATTTAGAAACGCTGTTCCTCAGATAGAACGGTAAGGATTAGCAATCGACTATCAAGAAACAAAAGTGTCCTCCCCGACCGGGAATTGAACCCGGGTCTCGCATGTGACAGACGCGGATACTAACCACTATACTACCGAGGACCTGAAGATAAGGCACGCCTTAGCAAACGTGTATAAATAGAAACGCCGTTCCTCAGATAGAACGATAAGCATTAGCAATCGACTATCAAAAACCAAAATTGTTCTCCCCGGCCGGGAATTGAACCCGGGTCTCACATATGACAGACGCGGCTACTAACCACTATACTACCAAAGACCTGAAGATAAGGCACGCCTTAGCAAACGTGTATTATTAGTAGCGCCGTCCCTCAGAGAGAACGGTAAGGATTAGCAATCGACTATCAAGAAACAAAAGTGTCCTCCCTGGCCGGGAATTGAACCCGGGTCTCGCATGTGACAGACGCGGATACTAACCACTATACTACCGAGGACCGGAAAATGAGGCTCGCCTTAGCAAACGTGTATAATTAGAAACGCCGTTCCTCAGATTAGTACGGTAAGGATTAGCAATCGACTATCAAGAGACAAAAGTGTCCTCCCCGACCGGGAATTGAACCCGGGTCTCTCATGTGACAGACGCGGATACTAACCACTATACTACCGAGGACCTGAAGATAAGGCACGCCTTAGCAAACGTGTATAAATAGAAACGCCGTCCCTCAGAGAGAACGGTAAGGATTAGCAATCGACTATCAAGAAACAAAAGTGTCCTCCCCGGCCGGAAATTGAACCCGGGTCTCGCATGTGACAGACGCGGATACTAACCACTATACTACCGAGGACCGGAAAATGAGGCTCGCCTTAGCAAACGTGTATAATTAGAAACGCCGTCCTCACTAGAACGATAAGGATTAGCAATCGACTATCAAGAAACAAAAGTGTCTCCCCGGCCGGGAATTGAACCCGGGTCTCGCATGAGACAGACGTGGATACTAACCACTATACTACCGAGGACCTGAAGATAAGGGCACGCCTTAGCAAACGTGTATTATTAGTAGCGCCGTTCCCTCAGAGAGAACGGTAAGGATTAGCAATCGACTATCAAGAAACAAAAGTGTCCTCCCTGGCCGGGAATTGAACCCGGGTCTCGCATGTGACAGACGCGGATACTAACCACTATACTACCGAGGACCGGAAAATGAGGCTCGCCTTAGCAAACGTGTATAATTAGAAACGCCGTTCCTCAGATAGTACGGTAAGGATTAGCAATCGACTATCAAGAAACAAAAGTGTCCTCCCTGGCCGGGAATTGAACCCGGGTCTCGCATGTGACAGACGCGGATACTAACCACTATACTACCGAGGACCTGAAGATAAGGCACGCCTTAGCAAACGTGTATAAATAGAAACGCCGTTCCTCAGATAGAACGATAAGCATTAGCAATCGACTATCAAAAACCAAAATTGTTCTCCCCGGCCGGGAATTGAACCCGGGTCTCACATATGACAGACGCGGCTACTAACCACTATACTACCAAGGACCTGAAGATAAGGCACGCCTTAGCAAACGTGTATTATTAGTAGCGCCGTCCCTCAGAGAGAACGGTAAGGATTAGCAATCGACTATCAAGAAACAAAAGTGTCCTCCCTGGCCGGGAATTGAACCCGGGTCTCGCATGTGACAGACGCGGATACTAACCACTATACTACCGAGGACCGGAAAATGAGGCTCGCCTTAGCAAACGTGTATAATTAGAAACGCCGTTCCTCAGATAGTACGGTAAGGATTAGCAATCGACTATCAAGAGACAAAAGTGTCCTCCCCGACCGGGAATTGAACCCGGGTCTCTCATGTGACAGACGCGGATACTAACCACTATACTACCGAGGACCTGAAAGATAAGGCACGCCTTAGCAAACGTGTATAAATAGAAACGCCGTCCCTCAGAGAGAACGGTAAGGATTAGCAATCGACTATCAAGAAACAAAAGTGTCCTCCCCGGCCGGAAATTGAACCCGGGTCTCGCATGTGACAGACGCGGATACTAACCACTATACTACCGAGGACCGGAAAATGAGGCTCGCCTTAGCAAACGTGTATAATTAGAAACGCCGTCCTCACCTAGAACGATAAGGATTAGCAATCGACTATCAAGAAACAAAAGTGTCTCCCCGGCCGGGAATTGAACCCGGGTCTCGCATGAGACAGACGTGGATACTAACCACTATACTACCGAGGACCTGAAGATAAGGCACGCCTTAGCAAACGTGTATTATTAGTAGCGCCGTCCCTCAGAGAGAACGGTAAGGATTAGCAATCGACTATCAAGAAACAAAAGTGTCCTCCCTGGCCGGGAATTGAACCCGGGTCTCGCATGTGACAGACGCGGATACTAACCACTATACTACCGAGGACCGGAAAATGAGGCTCGCCTTAGCAAACGTGTATAATTAGAAACGCCGTTCCTCAGATAGTACGGTAAGGATTAGCAATCGACTATCAAGAAACAAAAGTGTCCTCCCTGGCCGGGAATTGAACCCGGGTCTCGCATGTGACAGACGCGGATACTAACCACTATACTACCGAGGACCGGAAAATGAGGCTCGCCTTAGCAAACGTGTATAATTAGAAACGCCGTTCCTCAGATAGAACGGTAAGGATTAGCAATCGACTATCAAGAAACAAAAGTGTCCTCCCCGACCGGGAATTGAACCCGGGTCTCGCATGTGACAGACGCGGATACTAACCACTATACTACCGAGGACCGGAAAATGAGGCTCGCCTTAGCAAACGTGTATAATTAGAAACGCCGTTCCTCAGATAGAACGGTAAGGATTAGCAATCGACTATCAAGAAACAAAAGTGTCCTCCCCGGCCGGGAATTGAACCCGGGTCTCGCATGTGACAGACGCGGATACTAACCACTATACTACCGAGGACCGGAAAATGAGGCTCGCCTTAGCAAACGTGTATAATTAGAAACGCCGTTCCTCAGATAGAACGGTAAGGATTAGCAATCGACTATCAAGAAACAAAAGTGTCCTCCCCGGCCGGAATTGAACCCGGGTCTCGCATGTGACAGACGCGGATACTAACCACTATACTACCGAGGACCGGAAAATGAGGCTCGCCTTAGCAAACGTGTATAATTAGAAACGCCGTCCTCACCTAGAACGATAAGGATTAGCAATCGACTATCAAGAACCAAAAGTGTTCCTCCCCGGCCGTGAATTGAAACCCGGGTCTCACATATGACAGACGCGGCTACTAACCACTATACTACCAAAGACCTGAAAATAAGGAACGCCTTAGCAAACGTGTATAATTAGAAACGCCGCTCCTCAGATAGAACGGTAAGGATTAGCAATCGACTATCAAGAAACAAAAGTGTCCTCCCCGGCCGGGAATTGAACCCGGGTCTCGCATGTGACAGACGCGGATACTAACCACTATACTACCGAGGACCGGAAAATGAGGCTCGCCTTAGCAAACGTGTATAATTAGAAACGCCGTTCCTCAGATAGAACGATAAGGATTAGCAATCGACTATCAAGAAACAAAGTGTCCTCCCCGGCCGGGAAATTGGACCCGGGTCTCGCATGGTGACAGACGTGGATACTAACCACTATACTACCGAGGACCTGAAAATAAGGCACGCCTTAGCAAACGTGTATAAATAGAAACGCCGTTCCTCAGATAGAACGATAAGGATTAGCAATCGACTATCAAAAACCAAAAGTGTTCCTCCCCGGCCGGGAATTGAACCCGGGTCTCGCATGTGACAGACGCGGATACTAACCACTATACTACCGAGGACCGGAAGATGAGGCTCGCCTTAGCAAACGTGTATAATTAGAAACGGCCGTCCTCACATAGAACGATAAGGATTAGCAATCGACTATCAAGAACCAAAAGTGTCCTCCCCGGCCGTGAATTGAAACCCGGGTCTCACATATGACAGACGCGGCTACTAACCACTATACTACCAAAGGACCTGAAAATAAAGAACGCCTTAGCAAACGTGTATAATTAGAAACGCCGTTCCTCAGATAGAACGATAAGGATTAGCAATCGACTATCAAGAAACAAAAGTGTCCTCCCCGGCCGGAAATTGAACCCGGGTCTCGCATGTGACAGACGCGGATACTAACCACTATACTACCGAGGACCTGAAAATGAGGCACGCCTTAGCAAACGTGTATAATTAGAAACGCCGTTCCTCAGATAGAACGATAAGGATTAGCAATCGACTATCAAAACCAAAATTGTTCTCCCCGGCCGGGAATTGAACCCGGGTCTCGCATGTGACAGACGTGGATACTAACCACTATACTACCGAGGACCTGAAGATAAGGCACGCCTTAGCAAACGTGTATTATTAGTAGCGCCGTCCCTCAGATAGAACGGTAAGGATTAGCAATCGACTATCAAAAACCAAAATTGTCCTCCCCGGCCGGGAATTGAACCCGGGTCTCGCATGTGACAGACGCGGATACTAACCACTATACTACCGAGGACCGGAAAATGAGGCTCGCCTTAGCAAACGCGTATAATTAGAAACGGCGCTCCTCAGATAGTAGGATAAGGATTAGCAATCGACTATCAAAAACCAAAATTGTTCCCCCCGGCCGGGAATTGAACCCGGGTCTCGCATGTGACAGACGCGGATACTAACCACTATACTACCGAGGACCGGAAAATGAGGCTCGCCTTAGCAAACGTGTATAATTAGAAACTCCGTTCCTCGGATAGAACGGTAAGGATTAGCAATCGACTATCAAGAAACAAAAGTGTTCTCCCCGGCCGTGAATTAAACCCGGGTCTCACATATGACAGACGCGGCTACTAACCACTATACTACCAAAGACCTGAAAACAAGGAACGCCTTAGCAAACGTGTATAATTAGAAACGCCGTTCCTCAGATAGAACGGTAAAAATTAGCAATCGACTATCAAGAAACAAAAGTGTCCTCCCCGGCCGGAAATTGAACCCGGGTCTCGCATGTGACAGACGCGGATACTAACCACTATACTACCGAGGACCGGAAAATGAGGCTCGCCTTAGCAAACGTGTATAATTAGAAACGCCGGTCCTCACATAGAACGATAAGGATTAGCAATCGACTATCAAGAACCAAAAGTGTTCTCCCCGGCCGTGAATTAAACCCGGGTCTCACAAATGACAGACGCGGCTACTAACCACTATACTACCAAAGACCTGAAAATAAGGAACGCCTTAGCAAACGTGTATAATTAGAAACGCCGTTCCTCAGATAGAACGGTAAAAATTAGCAATCGACTATCAAGAAACAAAAGTGTCCTCCCCGGCCGGAAATTGGACCCGGGTCTCGCATGTGACAGACGTGGATACTAACCACTATACTACCGAGGACCTGAAAATAAGGCACGCCTTAGCAAACGTGTATAAATAGAAACGCCGTTCCTCAGATAGAACGATAAGGATTAGCAATCGACTATCAAAAACCAAAATTGTCTCTCCCCGGCCGGGAATTGAACCCGGGTCTCGCATGTGACAGACGTGAATACTAACCACTATACTACCGAGGACCTGAAGATAAGGCACGCCTTAGCAAACGTGTATTATTAGTAGTGCCGTCCCTCAGAGAGAACGATAAGGATTAGCAGTGGTCGCCCGACTTTGCCCCGTATGACTAGAAACTATGTGGCTAGTCTAATGATGTAAAAAAAATTGCTGCTATATCATATTCAACGATCGAAAATCAGAGACGCCGTTCTACACGCCAGGATATCGAAAATAAGGTGGGCCGGACACGTGATGCGCTTCAACGACAACCGCTGGACGAGAGCCGTTACCGACTGGATTCCTCGGGATGTCAAGCGCTCTAAAGGAAGACCACTGACCCGTTGGTCCGATTTCTTCACGAAAGCGATGGAAGAAAGATATGATGCTCAGCGAATTCCTAGAGCAAGGAGGACCCACTGGGCTACTCTTGCACGCGATAGGGGAAAATGGAAGAGTTGCTGGCACCCGCTCGAGTCACTCGACGATCAACGGGACGACAGGTGATACAGGTGATATCATATTGCTTTGATGTCCGAATTCACCTGTTGGGATAATCATCGCACTTCTTTACACAACATGAAAAGGCCTATTGTCTAAAGTCCTATAAAAAGTTTAATCTTTCTGTGATGTGCAGACGCCTTCTATGCTGTTCAAGACGCTCAAAAACGGGTAGAATTTGCAAAACACTTTTTCCCCATTTATTTTATAAAAGGGTCGACTTCTAGCAGCAAGATGTCGATCGGATGGCGAAAGAGGCGACGAAGAAACACGAAATTTCAAGCTGGACCAGCGTCAACTCTTGCAGCTTTGGAGTTTTAGGACTGCTGTAGATTAGACATGAAAATAGCTGAGGTTATAGTTTTGATCTAGGTGAAAGCTTAAATTCACATCGGTCTTATTGAGGAAAGTTGGAATTTCTATTGCAGAGCTTGTAGACTTCTCCGACATTCCTGAGGCACGTGCTTAAGGAGCTAGCCGAAGTGAATGAAGCAGCATGAACGTTATTTCTAAGGCACTAACTTAGAAAGGTGATCGAGATGAAAGAAAATGCATCGTATGGCACTTTAAAATGATGGATTGATTGTGAAACGCACATGGACTGATACGCATAGTTTCTTGATTGCGACACCAATAACTTTGAATCGCATGTAGCACATTAGATTGAGCCTTTCGCTACAACGTGTAAGGAAAACAATATACGTGCCGCGCTCTTTGGACGTCTCAACAAAAGTGGTGCGTTCTCCAATGGAAAACGTCTAACGAGTTCATGAATTCAGAACCTAGAGGAGATCCACCTTATCTGAGTCAAAATTACGAATAAAGCTATTAGGACAAGATTGGTAGGTTGCTTTCGAATGTTAGGGAACAGATGATGAAACGAATCTTTTCGCTAGACAAGAGCTTTTCATTGGAGTTTTAGTATTCATTCGAAATCGTACATCTCTGGTTATTACGTTACGTATCCGCTTTTTGACGGAAACCTTTCTATGAAGCTGTAACATTTGAAATGAAATTATATTTCACACGGCCACCCTCTTCAACTAACACTTTGTTGAAAGCACTGAATGTACACAAACATGTAGAGGAAATCTTGTAATATAAGAATTATACGTTTTATTCAAAAACCTACTTCAAAGCGGGAGGAAATCACAAAATAGATGACAAAAGTTGCACTCCACAGGTGATTAACCTCAACACGATCCGTCACTGAACGTCGTATCGAGTCGCGAATCGATATTTCATCGTAAATCACAAGACACTCGAGTATGACGAGCACGTCAAATGATTAAGAAGTTGAGCCAGAAATGTCTGCGCTTTTCATATAAGGCTTTCGGATCACATCTGTATCAGAACTAAGGCGTTACTCTAGATAAGAAGAGAGCGGAAGCCTGATCTTATTGCTACACAGCTAACACGGCTGGCTATGTGAAAAATATTCATAGGAAGACACACGGAAAAAAAGCAAAAAACTTGTCTGTAGCAACTTAGAAAAGAAAGTGTCCAAAGGAATGTTACTGGATTCAATATATGGGTCCACTACTAGTCGGCAAACAGATTTGGGACCCTTTTCGCGCATTGTTCTCTTTGGCGAGTGCACTGATAACACCGAAAATTAAGAATATAGGCAAAAGACGTGAAATAATGGCTTTGGTAGTGTGACAGATAACACGTTAGTCCTCCGATAGGATAATCGCGAATCAGAGGCTCACCTATGCGCGTGTAAAATGTGATATATCTTGGACTTTACAGTGTTGTAAAATGATCTTTTCGAATACCCGCTACTTACCGCGCTAACCAGAGATTTAAGCTTTCGAATCATTATTAACACAAGTATGAAAAACTCTTGTACAACGAATGAAGTCTAATACTCATTTGTTCTCTTATATCTTAAAGTACCATCATTTGGTAGCATGAGTTTTAATGATTCCAACGCCGTGTTTACTTCTTGAAGAGGCCGCTTAACTGGCATGCAGCAGGGCAGGTAAGATCTAGCTTCACATACTCGGTGAGCTTCTTTACTGGCTAATTTATGGAACGGAGGGTGGGACGATCGACCAATGTCTGTTAGATAATTTCGCTGTAAGTTGTCACTCAATTGCGTTTTTTTCACTTCGAAAGAAGCTCTGAATAAAAACACTTGACTGAGATACTATGAAATTTCGTCTTCACGTCCATATGCTTTCCGCGCTTCTGGCGAAATTTGAAATGATAGAAATGAAGGTGTAAAATATAGTTTTTGATTTGGTCCCTTATAACCGCTGTGAATAAACAATTTAGACTTGTAACAACTTCTTGTCCAGCCATCAAAAAGTGAACACGAATGCGAGCACTTTATTTCAAACCCATTTAGAGATGGTTTCTATCACCGTTACTATTGAGCTTTTATCTTATCCTATGACAAGAAAAGAAAACGGCAGCTATCGCTGGAGAAAGACTTCCCATTGCAATTGTAGCAATGATATGGAAGATCAAATCACTGGCTAATGCGCTACGTGTTTGTTTTTTTTTCTTGAAAAAACCTATTTGCAGGGCCGTAGCAGAGACAAAAACTGTTTATTCCTCCACACATCAATTTGCAGGACAAAACTCTCTCCTAATTCATGAGTGACCATTCAACAGTGTTTTTAGCGTATCTAACGCTCCGTTCAATCTTCTGGAAAGACTGCTTCACTGCAGCGTAGTAGGGAAAATGGAGTCGAATTTCACATACGCGGCGCATTTCGGCAGAATCATTCATCGACAAAAAGAGAATTTATTTGGATATTTCGGAAAATCAATATGCCACTTTCCTTTTTGAACAAGTTTATCATCCATCAACTCCATAACGAGGTGAAAAACAATTTCATATTTCAACTTTTATTTCTTGCCATTTCTTGTTTCATGGAGGGTGCGATATGAAGTATGACTACAAGATTGCTGTAACACGAGCAAGATTCAAAAGCATAGA